GTGGTAGTGACTGGATGATGAAATCGGGAAATCGAGCCTTATGGTTATGGCGCATGGCGCACCCTCGGGAGCCTTACGTCCAGTAGTGAACCTGAAGCAGATAACGATTTATTTGAACAAAAACAAACATTACATAAAACAAACACGAAACTAAAAACTGATTACAAATAAAAAATATCTTCGGTGTTCCGCATCGGGGCAATGGCCCCAGCAGACTAGCGGCATTCCCAGCCAGACTTATACGCTGTGCAAAGAAGGTTTTGATGTGATGATAAATGTGTAATGGACTAAGTAGGATAGGCATAAAGTGGTAGGTAGGTACGAAATTCGAATAAATGCCCGGCTGACCTGGGCTCGATCGTAATCAATCTACGTAGTTAGGTGCGGGTGTGTCCAGTCTTTGCAAGTAAACAACCACCCACCCCTCTCTGACACAGTACGCAGTTGGGTAGGTGTACGTACGCTTTTACACAATTACTAACAAAGAAAGTAATGAACATGAATGTGGATGGACGCAGAAGAAGACGCAGGCCTAAAAACGTTGGGATGGATTGCATAAAAGACAATATGAAAAATAAAGATATATGTGAGGATTTGACTGCCGATAGAGATGAATGTAAGAAAAAAAGATGTTGCGCCGACCCCAAATAAATTAGGATAAGGGCAGGCTGATGATGATTACAACAGGTCTGTCTACTTAGACATCAGTGTAAAATGGTATTAAAACACTTAATTGCAACGGATAGGTAAAATACTGTGTGATGCCTTGGCTTGGAATAGCATTACCCTATACCGCGAACTAAGTTTAAAATGCGACTAAGGAATGAATCTAGAAAATTGGCGGCAGCGTCCACTGTGAATACCTTCACTGCGATCGCCTATCCGCCACATAAACGTTGTGAGCTTGGTAAATAGTACTCCTCTGTTTGGAGCAGGCCCATGCCCAGCAGTGGACTGTTGTGACTGTATTTGGATGGATAAGTTAGGACCATGAAAGTCTGAAACATTAGTAGATGCCAATAACGTCTATTATTACCCATGTGTACATACATTCATGCATCACGGCTTTATCCCTGGCGGGGTAGGCAGAGCATCATGTAAAAACACGGTCGTTATCGCCACGTCTAACAAATATTTGAGAGCGTTTTAGCTATTGTCGTGTATCGCTATAGTGACAGGTTGTCAGCCTGTCACTATAGCGATATGTAACCCTCTCGAGTCCTTTAGTCGCTTCTTACAACACCCACAGGAAAGTCATGGGGTGATGCTATTATAAGCCGGCATCACACGGCGGCATTACCCATCTGTACCTATTTAAAGCAATTAGTTGAGTGGACATGCCAAGCATTACCCATTTACGGCGCAAGCTCCACAAAAGAGTAGATAGACGTGAGACGTAAGATGGCACCTGTCAAACAAGTGATCGTCGGAGACGTGAGACGTGCGACATCGCGACGCTTGAAACCGTTTCCAGTTTCGATATAAATTGTAATGAAACAGTAGAAACAAAGCTAAACACGTGTAACGCTCGCCCTATCAATAACGGCTGACGATTGCTTGTCTGACAGATGTCATGTTGCGTGTCGCGTCGCGCGTCTATTCTGTGGAGCTTGCCCCTAAATGTATGAAACAAGTATTGTTACGTGCTGTGTTATTAAACGAGTCATCGCGAAAATTGGACGACACATTAAAAAGCAATTTTCTGACCTTACTCAATTAGTATTATTTACTTTGGATAAATGATTATAATATAACACCAAGAAATACTCATTTCGAATCAAACTAAGTCAGTATAATATTAAACTGGGTAATTCATAACAACAAATAAATCCGAAAGAGGTACCTACTCATGAAACTGAGCAACTTTCCCAATGGATCGAAATATGGATCTGAGTTAAGTACTTACTAAGTATACGAGGTCCTTTTTATTTTTATTTTTACCCATGTTTTATGGGGAAACTTTTCAGTTTCATGAATACCTTGACTGTAACACGTATTATCCATGTGGCAGCGGATGAGGATGTTTATGTTTCGAAAAAGGTGACGTAGAGTTTTTAGCTCGGTTGAATTTACTGACCACGCAACGTCTATGGTTTATCGCATGGTGACAGTGGTACTTACCGCCTACGATCACATTCCATAAAGAAGCATGACGACAACCAGGCGGTCTGTCTTAAGACTAAGCCAAACTTTTTGTAAACATAATATTTTTGTGTGAACCGGCTCCGAATTAATTGGGGTAAGGGCAGGGAAATCATTGAGCATAGCTATAAACGAAACGAATGCCGCTAGTCCGAGTAGAGCATCCCTAGTTAGTATTTAGAGCTACAACCCAACCGGTCACAGCCGGTATGAACTGGTATCCCTCCATCCAGTCTTAGACGTGTAGCTCTCAATGCAAACTTACTCGGTTCGCCAGATCACAGATGCCGATGACGCGGTTGGAGTCGAGTAGGTAGAGCTTCCCTAGTTAATATTTAGAGCTACAACCCAACCGGTCACAGCCGGTATGAACTGGAGGAATCCCTCCATCCAGTCTTAGACGTGTGGCTCTCAATGTAAACTTACTCGGTTCGCCATATCACAGATGCCGATGATGCGGTTGGAGTCGTGTAGGTAGAGCTTCCCTAGTTAGTATTTAGGGCTACAACCCAACCGGTCACAGCCGGTATGAACTGGAGGAATCCCTCCATCCAGTCTTAGACGCGTAGCTCTCAATGCAAACTTACTCTGTTCGCCATATCAGTGATTCTGGCGACGTCGGAGTCAGTGAAACGTAGCTAATCTTATAGCTATAAACAAAACGAATGCCGCTAGTCCGAGTAGAGCTTCCCTAGTTAGTATTTAGAGCTACAACCCAAGCGGTCACGGCCAGTATGAACTGGTATCCCTCCATCCAGTCTTAGACGTGTGGCTCTCAATGCAAACTTACTCTTTTCGCCGTATCAGTGATGCTGACGACGTCGGAGTCAGTGAAACGTAGCTAATCTTCTGCATCGCTTGGATTCATAAATAAGACCTGTCAACTACATACATGTCCTTTCATCAGATATTTTTGTATAGGTTTCATGTACTTAATAAAAATATTGCTAACTAAAAATACCGCATGTTTAAATAAGATAGGAAGTATTGTCACGACTAAAATTGTCTATGTTCTTCTATACAGTACCTATGTAAAACATTCACTGCAAATATTTTAACGAGTGAACCGGTCCATGAAACTGAACAAAATTCCATTAGAAACATTGGTCGAAATACGAAAAAAAATGTTGACCCGCCCGTACAAACAGACACGACCGGCCAATAAGTACATTTTGTATGAGAGGTCCAAATTTTTTTATTATCTTTTGACCTATGTTCCTAAGGGAAAACTGTTCAGTTTCATGAACTTAAAAAGGTGAAAATATTTTTTACATGTATTCAAGTTTCACTAATATTTTACTTGCCGTTCGTATTTCGGAGGTAAAATTCGTCAAATTATGGTCAATGGTAGCCAGAAGAATCAACTATTTTTGTACCTAAGCCTAAAAAGATTTTAGGAATTAACTTACTACTTAGCAAATCTTACTTTACCTGTATTTTATTTTAAGTAAAGTAACTCTCAATTGCAATCCACAGAACTTCCTGATCGCGATCATCGTGGGCGCCATGTTGGATTTCGTGATTGGCACCCTCATGGGACCCAGGGGTGATGATGAGATTGCCAAGGGATTCGTCGGTTTCAGTGGTAAGTTTACTCTAACGCTAGGGTTTATCGGGTCGTGGGTAGACCGACTCGTAGGTACTTAGTAAAAATAAGAGCAACTTGATGGTGTCACAGAAGGGTGTTATCAAACGGCTTTACAGATGGCTCACTCATACTAGCGACGATGTTGACGCTTACTGACGTTTACTGGAATCTTAGAGGAACTCAAGATAACTAGAAAGATGGTTGCCGCGAACGTTATATACGGTTACATTTAATTAAGTACAAATCTCTTGAGGGTGTAATCTACTCACAAAACTGAACAACTTTTGTTAGAAACTTTTCTTCGAAACATGAAAAAAAAATTTGGACCTCCCATACTAAGCGACACACTTTTTCAGCATTTTTGTATGGGAGGCCCAAAATTTCTTTCATATTTCGAAGAAAAGTCTCAAACAAAAGTTTTTCAGTTTTGTGAGTAGATCACACCCTCAAGAGATTTGTACTTAATTAAATGTAACCGTATATTTCTTGCATTCGAATTTTCTCAGAATCATTTTACGTTCTTGTATCTGATTGATTAGCTGTATCCTCCTATCGACTCTAGTAACCCTGTCTATGTAACAACGTAACAAGTGACAATCGCAAAATCCTAAATAGGGGCGAGTGATCCTGCTTCAAACTCTCTATTTTGTGGTGTTATTTGAGTGGTGACCATTGATGCGGAGCGAAGTGACCGATTTCGCACCTGACCAATTTTTACCTGAATGCTTCAGGAGGGTTATCTATGTTTTTTGAGAGTATGTATGTAACCTATGTATGTATCTAGATATTCGTTTTCACGGGCTACAACCCAAACGGCTGGGCGGATCTTGAGATGTGAGGTGTTGTTAGACTCGGTTATATCCATAATTCATGAATTCAAGATGGCGGATTTTTATCGTTTTACCCAATATTTTTCTCCTCCTCAGTGGAGACGCTGTCTGGCAACTGGCCGCCCGACTTCCGCTACAGCGAGAATTTACAACAAGACTTCTTCAGCGTGTTCGCCATCTTCTTCCCGTCGGTCACCGGGATACAAGCCGGCGCCAACATCTCCGGAGACCTCAAGGTAACGTGCCCATAGCAAGAAGACGTTTGATACTGATGGTCTGATTTCCTGTCAGAACTTCGATCCCGTAAATGTCTACAAAGCGAGGCCACCGGCTGCCACAAGTTGTTTATATCATCATCACCTCATGTCAGCTTATACAGTCAACTCATTTGCTTCCTACGGATTGCTTGCTTGCTGATCCCAGAAACTGAAAAAATTACACGCATCGACCGGGGTTGGAAACCGGGCAGCGTGGGTCAACGCCCCACCGCTCTACCACTGAGCTATCAGTGTACCTACCGATCGATGCCAGCCAAATTTTCAATAACTTCGAGAGAATAGTATAAGCACTGTGAGTGCGTTAAAATCCCAATAGACGTGCTATGTTCACTTAAAACAACTTTTTGTCCCAAAACATAGGTAGAAGTAGAACTTACCAATAAAAAAAAAAAGATACCGTAGTAGCCACAGTAGTAGGTGGAGTTTATCCATACAGCTTTTCGTAACTATCTGAAATAGGTCAAGAGCCTTGCTGTAAACCACTTAGGTGCACGACCTTCGTAAATATTCGTGCCACTCCTGTGAACTGCTGAAAGCATCCACTTGACTTGTTGCAATATGGCCGATGGTGTAATTGAAACCGACTCCGATGAAGGAAACCTCCTTCATCATCATCATCATCATCTTTAAGGAGAAAAGCCATATCACGATGCGACTGCCATACGTTGTTTCATATTACCATCACCTTCAACTCAATTGCTTCCTATAGATTGCTTGCTTGCTGATCACTAAAGACGTGTGATGTCAAAAAAAAAAGAAATTGATAAAATGTCAAGCATCGACCGGGGTTCGAAACCGGGCAGAACGCCCCACCGCAACGCCACTCAGCTATCGATGCTCAGATCGATGCCTGCCAAATTTTCAATCACTTCGAGAGAATAGTATTGCACTGAGTGCATTGAAATCCCATTCACTTAAACAAACTTTTTGTCCCAAAGCTTAAGTAGAACTTTCCAATTTAAAAATATCGATACCTACTGTAGCCACAGTAGTAGATAGGTGGAGTCTATCCATAGATACAGCTTTTCGCTGGTATCTGAAATAGGTCAAGAGCCTCGTAGTTGTAAACCACTTAGGTACACGACCTTCGTAAATATTCGTGCCACTCCTGTGAACTGCTGAAAGCATCCACTTGACTTGTTGCAATATGGCCGATGGTGTAATTGAAACCGACTGCGATAAAGGAGGTTATCAAATAAAGATTTCTGAGTAAGTTTCATAGGTCGTAGATGTCATAATCATAAGTTACTACATCGGTTTCATTTGTTCATTTTAATTGAATTTTAAATTGTCTAACTTAGGAGACACGACACCATACACAGTAGTTTTTAAAGAACTTAAAATATATACGACGTTTCAAAATTTAAGTTTCAATGGATGGCCTGAAATTATAGATTCCGACAAGCTTTTGCTATAAACCTTTTTAAATACAATATGAGAAGTTTTATCAATATGATGCAAGTATTTTTTTTTTTTCACTTATGGGTAGGTAGATCCTATGACGTGTAGGTTGGAATAAACTGTATGACGTCAGATGCTCAATTAGTATGGTGTGGGGGCGCTCATACCATACCCACCCCTGCTTCTCTGTAGCTTTCCCCTGTAATGGATCTCGCAAAATATTACTTTTCCGTGGAAAAATAAGAAATTGTCTAACAAACTATAATAAGTATGGTATTACTTTGCCGTGTGGTGCCGGCATCACTCCATATTTTTCCCGTGTGTGTCGTAAGGAGCGACTAAGGGAATTGAGAGTTGATGTGTATTGCAATTTTAGGCTACATTACAGGCTGACAACCAGTCGCTTTGGTGATACCTACACACACAGTCTTCTGAATGACTCTGAAACTTTTTTCAGACGTGGTGTAAATGGCCGTTTTTACCAACGGTTTTTACTAATTAAAAGAAAACTGAGTTTTTAATTTGATATCTATCTATACATATCATAAGCTCACGACGAGAAATGGGATTGGCCTGACGGCATTTGCGATTTGTCCATCGGGTTATTCCAAACAACCTTACCAGCACTTCCAATTCGGATGCCTCTCGATATTCCACCTGCAACGGCGTGCAAATTATCAAAACTGTTTACCTCATGGCATAATTACATACATTTACTGGTTAGACGTTTTCCCAATCTCTTGAAAAAAGTGCAAAGCTATTTTCCTTAACTTCTATTTATAGGATACCAACTTTGTTTCCTACAGACATTACCATTACGTTAAACTCAGATTAATATCTTTAAAATAATAGGTAATCAAATCAAGGACAGCAGCGTTTCTTGTGAATGTAATATCAAATTCTCAAATTCTCAAATGTTTATTTGCTTCTCATGTTGTAAGTACAAAGATCAAAGGGTACATAATTTTTTGACACAAACATGAACCCTGAAAGGGTGTTGCAATTAAGGTATAAAAACACCTTACAATAATACCTACTTAGATTAACTTACTAATTTAAACTAACCATAATAATAACAAATTGAGCTTTAAATTTTAGTTTACACTTTTTACTGCGCTTGCCTATTACCGTGCGTAGCGTGTTAAGTATGGCAATGCCCCTCGATAGGGGGAGTCCCATGTCCAGCAGTGGACTGTTGTGGCTATAGTGCAATTTTAGACGGTGTAGTGCCTAGCCTCCGTCTAGTCTAATTAGTGTTGCACGACCCAAAAGCTCTGAGTTTCTGAGTTCGGGTAGAAAAGCTAAGTTGCATGTTTTTAGTTTGGTTTGGCAGAATTAACCCAATTATCTATCCAAAAAATAAGATGTAACCAACTTTCTGTGGAAACCATGCACCAAATTTTTCAAGGTTTTCTATTGGGACCTTGCTTTTTGCCATGTTAGTAGCGGTAGTTTTTACATTATGTGTGTGAATAAGTAGGCATGAATGTACGAATGTATGTATGAACCTGCCAGGGTAAAAGTTACTGAGTAGGCATAGGTAATGTTGACCAAAGGCATGTGCCATAGGTACACACCACACACTCGTGTAACCGCGTGTCGTGTCTCATAAAGACGACGTCAGGTTGACGTCACTGAAAACCAATCGCCATGATTCATTTTCAGTACTCTTTCCGCTTTCCCATCACGATAAATCACTTAAACTTCATAGCATGATTCAAATTAGTTGGCGAACCTCACACTGGCACCGGTCTCCGCACCGGTGTACGGAACGATGGAAACCGGTTGCGGTTGCGAAGGCACGGATCCGGAATTTCGTCCGGAGTTGCAGCGCATGAAGGTTCAGATTCGCTCCATTACTGCTCTCCAATTTGATTCTTCTTCTTTGCGTGTCGATAGCTAGAAAATCCGTACGGGACATATTCTGCGAAGCACCTTTTCTGTCCACCGCAAACGCCAGAACCTTCACGGAGATGCGGTGTCAAAGTGTGGCACCATGCGGTATTTCTACAAAAATCAAGATTGTATGACCAAAGTTTTAAACCTGACACCGCACACCGGAGCGGAAACCGATACAATGTGAGGATCGCCTTTGTTTAGGATTGCATCTGCTCTTGTATATTTCCTCCATGGTATTAGTCCATTGTGAGTCCAATAACCCATTTCGAGTTCGCTAAAACATTCGCGAATCAAACGGAATTGACGTCGTATGAAACCGGATAGGCGAGTCAATTCGTTTGACCCAATACATATATTTGGTAGCGTATTACGCTCGGCTGGAGGCAACAAAACAAATCAACTTATTAAAGTCAATTGAAAGCTTATTTGTGTTCGGTGACTCACATCTATTCTGGTGCGATTTGCATTCGAGCAACTTGGGATGCTTCCGTCAAGGTTTTCTGGGAAAAAATATAGGTATGTAGTTACAGGGAGTAACAAAAAGGGTGGGATAAGCCAAAAGGAGGTCAATAGGGCACTCTTGAAACTAAACAACTTTCCCCATGGAGCATGGGTCGAAATATGAATAAAGAATTTGGCCCTTCCATAGTAAATCAATCAGCTGATCGGCGATTTTGTATGAGGATCTAAAATTATTTTTCATATTTCGACCCATGTGCCATGGGGAAAGTTGTTTGGTTTCATGAGTACCTTGACCACCTTTCGGCTTGTTATACCCTTTTTCTTACTCCCTCCCTATTGATTGCTTTCCGAAACATAGCTAGGTACTTACTTAGAAATACATCGCTGTAACCCGTCAAAAGCACAACAGCGAGAGGAGAGACATAGGTCGTACCTACTCACGACTCATGAAAAGCTTTTATAACTTAGGAATTTCCCATTTTTTTTTACAACAACTTGTTTACTAAAGGAAAATAATCCCACACACTTGGCACTACCTACGCAATCACCCTAATGGAGTTCCTATATAATACGTAATTTGTGGTTCCTATTAATTAAACCATGGTTGACACAACACAACACAATGCTTTTAGTATAAGTACCTAATGTACCAGCTCCAGACGCTCTTTAGTACAATATTTTCACTTGGTGGTTTTCTTGGACATGAAAGTGGTCAATGACTTGGGGATTAAACCCTTTTAAGCATTATGGTTCCTAGAGTAGAAGGATTATGCCGGATGAAGTAACGATGTACTTACTGAAAACTTTACAGGAATTATCAGACCGTGAAACTGAACAACTTACCATAGAGCATGTGTTAGGGAACAAAGTTTTCATAGAAAGTTAGTCAGTTGATCGGGAATTATGTATTGGAGATCGAAAAATATATCTGTTTTTTCCAACATAGGTATAGCATCACAGAAGATGTTGTTCAGTTTTATAATCTGATCATGCCTGCAAAGTTTTCTTTCAAGTCATAAAAACATCGTGTCAAACAAAATGTCAACGAAAGTTTTCACAACCTTTTTTCAGGACCCAGCGTCAGCCATACCGAAGGGCACGCTGCTCGCTCTGCTCATCTCCATGTGCAGCTACGCGTTCCTTGTGATGTTCGCTGGAGGTGGCGCCCTCAGGGACGCGTCTGGCAACATTACCGACGCCATAATGATCAACGGCACCGTCAATCATGCCGAGATTGCCAGCTGCTTGAATTTAACTGCTGATCCCACTGGGGGTTGCAAATTTGGACTGCACAACAGCTATTCTGTAAGTAGTTTTAGGTGATAAATTGCCAAATCTGCCGAGTAAGGTCCAATTCAAACCGTACTCAATTCAAACCTGAGCGGTATCCTTACGGCACGTGGCTAGCAGAACTTAATCGCTTGATACTTCGCACCAGTCAAGACATCGCTCTACCTACGTACCGCCCAGAT